GAGGGAGTAGTCGTTGCAGCTCAGAGCTTCATCGGCGAACTTCTCTTTTTCTTCTTCTCCGGTCTGTATTTCTTTTATAATTCTGTTTTTTTTTTTATTAATTCTAGCGCATTTGTTTATTTATCGCGCATTTTACTGTTAAAATGGTAGTGCCCGCTTTAACCAGCAGCGCCAACACGGCCCAGTAATACCACGACCACACTGAAGACAGCCGTGAAGTGGAAGCAATTCCATGTTTCGTCTGATGAGTGTGGTGCCGGAGGCCTAATTTAAATCTCTTTTTCTTTACCACTCTTTTCTTATAAGGACGGGAAAGGGAAGTGGATTTGATGGTGGCGGAGATGCATAGGACGTGGAAATATCCTCTTTATCTGCATCTCCTCCTACGTCGTATAAGGGTAGGCAACGCATCTGCAATTGCGGATGTCTATGGGCAGCGGTCGCTTCGCCATTCAAGTGGATTCAGGTGTCCGCTTGCTCGTTTGTTATGTTATAAAAAAAATTGTCTTGTATTTTTTGGAAAGTTTAAAGAAAATTGATAGGATTTAAATAGTTTTAGACATTTTAAATAAATTGATGATGACGTTTATTTAACTAATATTATAAATGCGAAAGTTTAGATGGATGTTTGTTAGAGTTTGTAGCCTAAATGGCTGAAAGGATTTCGATGAAGTTCGGCATAGTCGTAAAAGATAGTCTGGAAAAACACATAGACTACTCAGTTTTGATTTTTTTAATTCCACGCGGACGGTGTCGCGAGCGAAAGCTAGTTATTAATAATATATACGTTTCCAGGTAAAATAATAAAACGCTGGGGTTATAGGAGAACTCTTACTTTCTCCCTCTTTTGCTACGGAATCAGACTCGCTCTCATCTCCTTCATACAGCATCCCTGGCATCTCGTGTTTATTGAGGTAAGGATTTATTACTATTTTATACTCGATATTAATCTAAATAAATCTACAGTGTGTCTAAATAAGATAGATTAGTTTGATAAATGACGTATATGAAGTATCGAATTCAATTTGTATGAAGGCAAATGTACAATTATGAACTATCGATATTCGGTTTAAATAATTATCGAACTCAACTAAAATTATTATTTTCTTATTAACTAATTTAGAGGACAATTTCTAGTATTGATTATAGTGTAGAGAATTTAGCGATGACAGAAATAATAGCGAAATCCAATTCGATTACGTACGACTGTAAAGTAATAAACATTTGTTTACTCTCATTATTTGTTATTGTCATTATAAATTTGAGAAAACAGTGTTTTTTTTTTCAAATCATAAGTTATAAACTATGGATCTATCGATTCCAACTTTTATAAGAATAAAAATGGAAAATCGATAAAATGGGGATGTTTCCTAATGTTACAAATTCAAATAAAGTTATGTTTAATATTTTAAAGACAGTATTTTAAAACCTATAATAACATTTGGAGACCTTAAATGTTTGTCTCCATTGAAATATAAATTAAAAACGCTGCAATATTTTGTACCCTCCATTACTCTATCTCAAACATCAATCAGAGCTCGGTGACGTAACTTCTTCGCAAACAACATGGCAGTGTGACCAGCTTCAGTGAATGTCAGTGCATTTTGTAGTTATAATTTTTTTTAATGATTATAATAATTGAGTTTGCGTGTGTTATATTATGATTACTCCATTATTAAGTGTTTTTATATTTACGATATATTTTACGAGCAAATTTTTCTATCACTGTGACGAAAAAAAAATAGTAAAAGTAATTTGAATAGCTAATTCAATTTACGTCTGGTCACTTTGAATGACTTTGACAGACCGCGACGCGAGGTTTGTTAGCAAAGAAGTGACGTCATGTCATGAGGCGTTTTCGCGGTCTTTCGAGGTGTTGTTTTTAGTTAAGTGTTTTTGTAATTAAATGTTGCGTATATGATTTTATTATATTTTTTATCTTGATATGGTTTATCTACATAATAAAAGCAATTCCAAAAATTAGGAAACATCCCCATTCATGACTGATTACACAACCATCCCTACTAAATTGAAGTGAATTGTCAAAGTAATCTAACTTATTTAAACACATTATAGTCAATTTTTTTATTACATGTCAATATGAGGTGGCACTAAACTTGACAACTGATATAGTATCTTTCAGAGAAAGTACCGGTATAAAATTATAAGCCACTTTTATTTATTTATTAATCTATTGGGTGGTTAGGGTATAATGCAAGGGCCGACTTACGCGCTATGTTACTCTACCATAGTGGGGTACGCAGCGCATGTCGCCCCTGAAGGGTATTCCGCTACCGTACAAGGTATAGTTGCTGGCATGGATGATGGTGTTGGTAAGTAAATTACTTTGTTTTATATGTTTATGAAGGTTTATATTACTTATAAATGCAAAAGTTTTAGATGTTAGAGTTTTTCCAACTGCTGAAGGGATCTCGGTGGGCGTAGATGTAGTCTGGAAGAACAATTAGGCTACTTATGTTTTTATTTCGCGAGGAGAGCTAAGCTATTTAATCTAAATACTGACTTTCACACGCGACGCCGTCTGTATGAAGAGAAAATACAAAAATATTTAGCTTATGTTTTTCAGACTATGTACAAATATTACATCGACATCCGTTCAGCAGTTTAGGCTACAAACATCCATCTAAACTTTCGCATTCATAAAACAGTAGAACCTCGATAACTCAAACCTCGGTAACTTAAAAAAATAATATGTTCCCTTCCCATCAGAGCCCAAAACCTCTATAACATTTTTTTTTATAATACGAGGTGGCAAACGAGCAAGCGTGACCTGAATCCACCGAAATGGAAAGCGACCGCTGCC